GCAGCCAAGCCTCTGACTTAGTATAGACTTTGTGCAATTCAGCTCTCCAGGACCAAGAGTCAGAAGGCACTGGGTCAGGGGAGAGGCACCTTGGCAGGGTGAGTTGGGAGGAGAGCAGACCTTGAGCCTTCCCACAGCTCAGTCAGGCTTCCAGATGCCCATCTGCTTCAAAAAGGTGTGCCTTCCCCCAGGAGCCAATAAAAGCCTGGGAAGCAGAAACTCAAAGAGGTAATCAATAGTTTGCAAAATGAAGGCACCACTATTGGAGACGGGCTATCTGGGGAATGAGGCCCTCTTTTCAGCATTTCTACCCAGTGCCATTTATCCCTGAAGACTGGATTAGACAACACTCAATTTTCTATCCTGCTGGTGGAAGAATGTTACAAATAATCCAAAGGAAGATGGTTTCCTTTTACCTTTGGAATTCTTAGTTGAGGCTACAGAGAGCCTCCCTGGGTACCACTGCCTTACTGGACCAGCATCCTCAGCCTCACCTGGGAGCTTCTTAGAAATGCAGAGTCACAGGTCCCACCTCAGACCCAAAGAATCAGAATCTGCATGTTAAACAAGATCTTTAGATGTTTCTTGAGCACATGAAAGTTTAAGAAGTAATGCCTTCAATGAATATTAAAAGGTTTGCATCCCAGGAGCAAGAGGCAGTGCAGAGGCCAGGTATGGGAGGCTGGGAAGAAGGGGCTGGCAAGCAGGAATAAGCTTAGGATTAAATGTGTACAGCACCAAGTGGCCTGCCCAGGAATAACAATTTCACTCACCTTTCTTCTCTGCCCTGACCCTTCCCAAGCCATTCTGCACCAGGCAAGGTTCGAGGCTTCTCTGACCCCATGTAAGAGCTTCACATCATGGTGTCTCAACCTTTGAAGTTTCCTCCTCCAGGAATGCCCTTCCTCCCGTGTCTGCTGAGCTAGCTCCTAGTCCTTCTTCAAAAATCTACTAAATGACTTCTCTGGTGGTTTAGTGATTAAGAATCTGCCTGCCAAAAATATAAGGGACACAGGTTTGATCCCTGGTTCAGGAAGATCCCACACACAGTGGGGCAATTAAGCCCATGGGCCACAACCACAGAATCACACATGCTGTAGAGCCTGCATGCCACAACTACTGAAGCCCATGCACCCTAGAGTCTGTGCTCAGCAACAAGAGAAGCCACCACAATGAGCAGCCCGTGCGTTACGACTAGAGAGTTGACCCAGCTCCCAGCAATGAAGACCTAGTGAAGCCATAAACAAATAAAAAATAAATATTTTTTTTAAATATGATACAAAGTAACCCCTTCCTTGTTGTACCTACATACTTCTCTCTGTGATGCTATGACCCTGGGTCCGCTCACTCATTTATCAGTTCCTTCATACAACAAACTCGAATATCTAATGTCCTCTATGTGCCGGACACAAGGCTAGAAAGTAGAGACATAGAAGTGGATGAGATACAGCTCACTCTTTGAGAGTTTACCTTCTAGACAGGGAGGTAAATGTATCAACCCTCATCTACAGTACCCCCTGGGATTGCTTGAGTCAGGGAGTATTGTCATTTTTTGTTTATATATCTTACCTCCCCAACTAGACTGTTGTTCCTTAAAGACAGGGGTTCTGTCTTATTCTTCTTAGTTTGTGTTAGGCCACTATTAGTCTCTGAGCAGATGAGAATGAATGCATGAATGAATATCTATTTCATATCTTGGGAAAGAGCAGAAACACCATCAACCTGACCTTCCACAGCCAAAGTGTGGTGGAACCAGGTCTGGGAGCCAGGTTCAGCCACCCCATTCCCTAGGAATTCCATTCAGTGAAGGATTTTCCCACATGGAGTCAGATACTGCAATGCTCACAGAAAAGACCTAAAGCAGATTCTCTAAAGAGTTTAAGATCTCTCAGAGAAAATAAAGCCCACACCCATGAAACAATTAGAAAACATCAAATGATAAAATCCAGTAAGTGTAGAGACAAGTAGAAATGGACAATCACCTGAGCGAGACTCAAGCAGGTCCTTGAAGAAATGTTTATTTGGGCAGGTAAGAAGAAAAAGGGAATTCTAGACAGGGGAACACCAAGAGCAAAGGCTCAGAAGCACAAAAGACAAAGGTATGTGGAGCATGGGGAAAAAATCGGAGGTGTGGATGGGTAGACAAAATGGTGCCCAATGTCAGAAAGCCATGAGCATACAGTGTGGAGTTCAGACAAGGGTTCTGGGAGTTCTGGGACAAAGTAAATTACTGTTGCTGTCACCATCTAGGAAATATGGAAGGGTTTAGCTTTCTGTGAAAACTCCAAGTTCCCTTATTTTTTGGTGAAGAAGGGATGTTTCAAGAGTTGACTTTTAAAAAAAAAAAGAGTTGGTTTTTATAGAAGTGGTAATGGATCACCTGATCTCCCTTGAGGAAGAACAGTACCACATTTGCAAACCAACTGGCCAGGACAGAAGGTCAGGAGTTCTGAGAAACTTTGTTTATTCTAAGAAGATAACTGGTCTGGGTTGGGACAAAACTTGCAACCTAAGGTTCTCTAGGTCTAAGTAACTGAGCCAAATCAGTGGCAGGATGACCACTTCCAAACACACACACACACACACACACACACACACGTACAAAGAGCTGGTGTTTTATTAAAGAAAATTCCCAGTGTAGACATGTAAGTACACAGACTAGCTAAGAGCAGAAAGAGTGAGGTGGCAAAGAGAAACAAAGACTGAAGCGCTGGCAGAAGGCAGAAGCCTTTTAAAGGAGGCACAGCTTCTGCAGGTCCTCAGGGGACAGGCTGAACTGTTTTCAGTTCCAGTAGCCAAACTCTGATGGTGCCAGATTCTCCATTATTCCTGGGTGGCCCCACCCCCTCCACCCTTAGGCTGCTTTCTGTTGGCAAAAGTTTGCTTGCTTATGGAAGCCTTTGAATACTGGAGCATCTGGTGTTCTAGAGACTTAAAATACTGCAAATTCAAGTAACATAACTGCTTGGATCTACAAGATCCAGCTTGCTCCATCTCCAGCAGGCGTCTTGCCCTTCAGAATGTCACCCCTCAGAGCTATGCAAAACCCTTCCCCAAGTTTGGCTTCCTAACTCTTTCTTTGGATGAGAAGAAGGACTTAGCTATTATATTTAGGGTTGCAGGGCTTCCTGCCCATAGAAATAAAAAATAATGAGATGGGGACTGAATCATCAGATGACAAATCCACTGGGGAAAACATACTGGAAGGGGATGGGGGATCCAGACCAGGCTCTAGCCCCTAACCAACCTCATTTAGTTCCCATGATTATTTTCTATCAGGCAAATAGCCTCAAAGAATTGACATAAACTTCGTCATATTGAACAGAGTAAGAGGCAGAGCCAGGATTTAAACCAGGTTTGTTTCACCTAGAAGCCATTCCCTACACTATATGCCTTCAAGGTCCTGGATTTAGTAGACAACCACCCCTAAGCAAAGGGCATAGGGGGCAGGCAGGTCTTTCCCATGGGCCCCTGCAGGGCTATTTTGGTTTGGGGCAAAACTGTATTTGACAGCTGTGGACTTGCGCTCTGTGTGTAAGTGACTCCATGCCTGTGTGTAAGAGGAAGATTTGTGGAGAGGCAGAGTTGAGAGAGAGAGGAAGACTTCCTCTTCTTCCTCCTCAGAATGAAAGCTTAACCTTGAATGAATGGAATTCAAATTTGATGTGTGCAAGTCAAACCCTGGAGGGGTATGTGCACACTTGCCAGGGCAAAGCGTCCTCTGCAGGGAGGAGCACATGGAGAAGCTGCCCAGCCCACTCAGCCCTTATCCCAAGTATTCCCTTCTACTCAGAACAACAGATGTACAATCACCATCCATCCACCTCACTCGGTATCCTGAAGGTTGTCGTCACATGAAAACAATATTTGAGGAAGTAGAAAAGGGCCCCTCAGCTCAGGAGAGCATGTTGCCTAATAAGTCAGAAAGGAAACCACTTCCTCCCCGTGAACTCTTAGTATATTAAAGAGGTCCCCCCATCATGTCAACATGTGTCGCCTCTCTGGTATGTCTTGGACAGGATATTGCCTTCAATCCACATATTGTAACTTATTGACATGCTCCTTATTGAGAGCTAAAAATGAGGAAGAAACATTTCATGACTCTTAGCCATGGCTGAACAAAAAGAGGCTTCAAGCCTCCAAGTGGAGACCAGAGGACAGTTGGTAAAAGAGAAAGTTAATGATGAGTGTGTTGTGGAGGGTCCTTGAAATCTGGAGAGTTAGGGAAATCATTCAAAAATGTAGCTCTGGGACTTCCCTGGTGGTCCAGCAGTTAAGACTCCACACTTCCAATGGAAGGTGCATGGGTTCAGTCATTGGTCAGGGAGCTAAGATCCCATGTGCTGTGGGGTGCAGCTAAAAAAAATTAAAAATTACCTCAACTTGAGATTGGATCAGAAATCAGAGACCCACAAAAGATCTGCTCTTTATCCAGGCCCTAAATGGCTAAGAGGGGAAAATGGGACACAGTACATGAGGCAGGCCGTATGGGAGTAAAGACAAAGAGATCTGAGCTGAGACCAGACTAGAAACAGGAGTTCAGAACCAGAGGATTAAAAAAATAAATAAATAAAACTAGCCTTATTAAATCTTACAACATTAAAGGAACCAAAAAGGAAGGAATCTCACATTTCAGACCAAGAGTTAAATCAGTGGCTGTCCGCTTTGGTGACCCAGGAGTGTCGTTTCTGAAATAGACAAGTGCTCCAGCTCCACCCATATATTCTATCCAGACCTCTGGTGGGGGCCCAGCCAAGAGCCACCAGCCACTCTGATATCCAGCCGGCATCAATAAGCACTGAGTTACATCGAAGGGATGTATTCATACCCCACTTCCAACCCATTCACGCCCCCCAAACTTCCTCAAGCCTCAAACTGGCCCCCAATGTATGAGTCACAGCAGGGCTTTCTTCCAGTCACTTCAGTTGTTTCAGGAATTCCCAACTATAGATTCTTCACCAGCACTCCACATGCCCTTCAGCCAGGGTAGAAACACAGGATGATTGCCACAGACTGCATTTATTTAGGGATCATTGGCCAAAGGAACAATCATTTGGGGTAGTTTTTATCTCTGTGATTCCTCTCTGGAACCTTCCACAGAGAGCACCGTCCAAGCAGAGGGTCTGACCTGAAGGGACGCTGGAGGCCACTGCAGCAGCTGACCAGGGTCTCACTCCAGGGGGACCACATCCTGCTCCCCCTTATCAGCCTGTCTTCCTCCAGGCCTGTCCAGTCTCTGCTGGGCTTCGAGCCCTCCAACTCCATCATCCCTCTGCCCAAGCAGTGAGGCAGGAAGAGGACTGGGAGGGCAGTGGGTCTGAAACAACTGCTATATGGATGGACTCAGGACACACAGCAAAGAGAGTCTCTGCCTCAGCCAAGGGTGAAAGGACCACCCCTTCTTCTCAGAAGGCTTGCTCTGTTTTTGCCATTCCCCCAGTTGACCTTTTGTCTGGTGGGCTAGTTGGTGCTGACCTCAGAGAAGGCCAGACTGGGTGCTGTGGGGAGAGAGGAAAAAAGCATATTTGTAAGAAGCATTTCAATCATAATAGTTACCATTCATTGAACTCTTTCCATCTGTCTGGGCTAGTTCTGAATTTCACATGCACTATCTCATTTGTTCCTCACAACCCGAGAGATAGGTTTTATTAATATTTTCCCCATTAAGGATGAGGAAACCGAAGCTCAAGAAGCCAAGTTACCTGCCCAAGATGCTCCAGCTTCTAAGTCAGGGTAAAGATGTAGACCCTGGTGTGTCCAACTCCAAAGCTAGGGATCTTAACCATTGCGCCATACAGCCTCAGAAAGAGGACATGGTATGGTGCCCCTCCATTTAAGTAAACTTAATAAAAAGGCAAAGGTTCTGGGACTCCCCTGGCAGTCCAGTAGTTAGAACACCAAGGAGGTACGGGGGGAAGGGTTCAATCCCTGGTTGGGGATTTAAAATCCTGCACACTGCAGGTGTAGTCAAAAATAAAAATCAATGTAAAAAAAATCCATGATGAGCAAAAATTTTTTTTTTTAGTTTTTAAGCAAAATTTCTTTGTTACCCCTGCTCTCTATCAGATAACAGCCCCCTAGCTAAAGTCTCAAACAAATGGTACACAGGCCAGAATTCACCCACAGCCTTGTGTAATTTGACAGTGTTTTAGAATAACTTGATGAGCCCCTGAAGGCCTTTGAGTTTGTGGCCCTGGTCTCCCATCACACTTCCTTTATTGGATCCGTTTCAAGGGGACATGGGTGCTGTTTTCTGCAGAGTTTAAATCTCAAACACCTGGCCCTAAACATGAGACGCTGGCACTGAAGCTGGCTCACTTCTCCATCATCTCTGTCCCACAGAGTGTCTGCAAATGGTACCACCCAGGTGATGGACACAGAGCAGCAGGCACCGTTATCAGCAGGTCTCTAAGACAAGGTTCTGGCAGTTACTGTAGCATCACATGGCAATGATGGGAGAAGGATGCGGGGAAGGGGAGTGACTATATTCAACTTCAGAAGGGAGCTCGTGTTTCACTTGGTGGAGCAAGGCCAGATTCTGATCTCACTCTTCCCTGGCATAACCTTTCTCTGTTGCAATCATCTGGGAGTCATGTGTCCTTGGAGCTGGTATAACAGGAAAAAAACACAAGCCATCATCCTATAAACAGAGGAGGCCAGCCTTCCTGAACACAGTAGAACACTGTTCCCTGCAATGGCTGGGGTGCCTATTGCGAAAGTCCTCAGTTGGGTCCGACTCTCTGAGACCCCATGGAGTACACAGTCCACAGAATTCTCCAGGCCAGAATACTGGAGTGGATAGCCGTTCCCTTCTCCAGGGGATCTTCCCAACCCAGGGATCGAACCCAGGTCTCCCACACTGCAGGCGAATTCTTGACCAAGTATTATTTATCTACAAATAGCATCATGTCCCTCGCCAGCTCATTCCTTTTGTCCTTACGCCTACTCACTACACAGCCAGTGTCTTTTCTAGGTGCTAGACTTTCCTGCAGAGTTGAACAAAGAGAACATAGGAATCAGACTCTGTATTATTACATGAAATCCAGCATGCAGCCTTCCAGCAGTTGGATTATGTCAAGGTACAATAAGTCACAGAGTTAAAAAATCTAAGAGTTGAAAAATATTGACTTTAAATGCAACTGGTGGGTAAATTTAGTTTAGAGCTTCCCAGGTGGAGTTTTGACTAAATGGACATGAGTTTGAGCAAACTCCAGGAGATAGTGAAGGACAGGGAAACTTGATGTGCTGCAGTCCAAGGGGTCGCAAAGAGTCCCCATGGGGACATGACTGAGAAACTAAACAACAACAAATGTGGAAAGAATCTGCCTGCCAATGCAGGAGATGTGGATTCAATCCCTGGGTCAGGAAGATTGCCTGGAGCAGGAAGTGGCAACTCACTCCAGTATTCTTGCCTGGAGAATCCCATGGACAGAGGAGTCTGGTGGGCTACAGTTCCTGGGACCGCAAAGAGTCGGATGTGACTGAGCACACACAGGTAAGTTCAGTAAATGTTGTAAATTATAGGAAAATACCAGTGAAGGAGAAGCCCACAAGCTAACACTGAAGACATGTAACACTCCAGGATTTACTAGACCGTGTATATTTCAATATATGTTGGCCACCTAGAATTGGAGCCAACTAGAAATCAGTGTAAAAATAGAACCATTAGTAATCTAAGGAATTCTAAAAGATATGTGCAGAGAAGAGGTCATACTCAGAAATGTAAAAAAATAAAATTTAATAACATGATAAAGCAATTAGCAAGTATACAAAATATCACAGTGGGCTTCCAGGTGGCTCAGTGGCAAAGAACCTGACTGCCAATGCAGGAGACACAGGTTAGATCCCTGAGTCAAGAAGATCCCCTAGAGGAGGAAATGGCAACCTACTCCAGTATTCTTGCCTGGAAATCCCATGGACAGAGGAGCCTGGTGGGCTACAGTCCATGAAGTCACAAAAGAGTCAGATATGACTTAGTGACTAAACAACAATAAAATATCCCGACACCATAGGAAAACTGTAAAGGCTATGAATAAAGGAGCATTGGGTAAAATAGCATAAACAGTAGAGTTCTCATAGTGGTGCATCAAATAAAGAATGCTACTAGCATAAAAAGACTTGGGGAAAGACATGTAATTCATTAAGGGACCTAGGGCTTAAATTGTAAATAGCAATTCCTTAGCACAACACAGCACTAGGAAGTTATTGGTGCTGGACTTGCAGGCATGTGTATATGAGCATCTAATGGGCATGGCAAATTTGTGTTGCATTCAGTTAATAAAGTGCAAATAATGACCTTATGCTGCAAAAAAAAAAAAAAAAAAATCTAAGAGTTGGAAGGGACCTTTTGAAAGGGAGGAAAACAGTTCCTCATGACATGATTTTTGTACAGGATCATCTAGTCCCTCTTTTCTACATTGTGTTAAACCAGTATTGTGCTGATGAGAAAGAGATCTTTGTCTAACCTCATGATAGCACTTCCTTCTACCTCTAAGATCAACCCTCTCCAGCCCTAGAGATGCTCAGAAGACTCGAAATTGGGTATAAGGACAAGTTTGCCACTACTCTTCTATCCAGCAGAGCTTCAACTTCTTACAATTTCCAACTACCTAGAAAAATCTCTGCCTTCAGCAGAGTGTCCCCCCACCCCACCACCACCCCACCTCACCCCCACCCCTGCTCCCACCAGGAAACCTTAGCAACATCCATCCCCCGTGAGTCTGCCATATCCTTCCCAAGTCCTTTTCCTGCCTCCAGACACCGGGCTCAGCGAGACCCAGAACACTCCTCACCATGGTCATGTAGGTGGCCTCCGATTTTCCACCTGATTCTTCCTCATCGTTCACCTCTTGTGTGGTTATCGAGGAGTAAATGTGTTTCTAGAGGGGAGACAATCATATAAATAGTCTTAAAACTCCACAAATCTTACATGCCAGAGAAAAGGCTATCTTTTCCATGTTCTTATGATCCCCTATGTTCACAGGGCATCAACCCCCAAAATCAGTGAGTTCTGAGGGTTATTGAGAGCTACAGAATGATCATAGGTCACAATAATTCAGTCCTCAGACTTCCTGAAAATTAACTCATCAGCAAAGAGCACTACATTCAGAACGAACTTCTTTGGTTCAAAAGTCAAACATCTGGGACTTCGCTGGTGGTCCAGTGGTTAAGACTCCACACTCCCAATGCAGGGGGCATGGGTTCAATCCCTTGTTGGGGAACTAAGATTCCCCAACATGGTGTGACCAAAAAAAAAAAAAAGTCCAACATCTTTCTTTAGATGGGCATTGAGGTAGCAGCAGAGAATTCTTATTTTGCCAAATGATTTTAATTTTGTGCTTATTTCCTCACAATTAGAGTCTTGGCAGGACAGAATTCATCAGCACCTAATTGTCACCATCTCTCCCATACAGCTTAAATGGCAGGAACAGCCCTCACTGAACTTCATGTCTATGAGGTCAGGGGTACTTTGTGACTCCTGTCCCTGTCACTATCTGGGGAAGTGATATCATTCAGTGACAAATTCTTGGACTTCTGGAGTCCCCTATAATGTGAGAAAATCCTACTCTTGGGTCACAAACAGCCCAAAAGATGAAAAGGTATGTAAGAAGAGTTTTTCAAAAGAAAGAAAGGAAGGAGGGAAGGAGGAAAACAGGAAGAAAGAAAGAAAGAGGGATGGAGGGAGGAGGGAAGAAAAGAAAGAACAAAAAGGGGGGGGGGGATTTCAAGGAAATTAATCCATTTCTCAGTTCCTAGTAGCAATTATTTATTATTTATATAAACTATCACAAACTAATATGATCAAGAAAAAGTTCTTGATTCTCTCTTTCTAAAGGTTCCTGAATATTTAATCTGAACTGTTAACTCTTTCACTTAACCCCAGAATGGATCATAATCACCCCTCATATTGATACAATGCCTCAGAGATTATAGAGCACTTGCAAATAGCATCACGCTATTTGAACCTCACAGCTGGGCAGATATGTTTGTCCTTCTCCTCATTTTGGGGATGAGAAAACAGAGGCTCGGGGAGTGGCAGAGCTGGGCTTGAACTGGCTTCCGATTCCAAGTCCAGTGCGCTTTCCCCGGACCCTCCAAGGCTGGGCTGGGCTGCTGGGCTGGCCCCGCCCGCCCCACACGCCTCACTACTCCTGGGCTCTTACTGAGTGATGGAGATCTCCTAAGCACTGCTCTGGGCCAGGCACTGGAGGTGCTGAGACATAACAGTGAATGAGACACAGTTCCCAGGAGAATGATAAAGACACCACCTGGGTTCTGGAGCAGTCTCCACCTTGTCCTCACTGGGCACAGCTGCAAAGCAGTATAATTCTGGTTTTTGGTTTGTCTTTTTTTTTTTTTTTTTTTCCATTTTATTTATTTATTTGGTCCTGCAGGCATGTGGAATCTTAGTTCTCTGACCAGGAATGGAACCCATGTCCTCTGCGTTGGAGGCACAGAGTCTTAACCACTGGACCACCAGGGAGGTCCCAAAATGACAGAATTCTTCTCTTACCTCTGCACGAGGCTTCTCTGTGTTCTCCAGGCTTTTGACCAGGGTGGTGGAAGTGACTGAACTGCAAAGAAAAGCATGAGAAACATGAAAAGCACGTGCAATTAACCACCTGGCATTGTATAGTCAAGGATGACAACACAAGACCACACAGAGCTTTTATAAAAAGAGACCTCAGAGGAGGACCCACTTCTAGACACCTTCAGCCCGCACTAAACAGCTCAGCTTAGAATCTGAGGCATGCGTCTTTTTAATGGAGAGCAGAGAAGTATCGAGAGAAAGCCTGGGCGGAAGACAGCTTCAGCCTCTCTTGTGAGTGAAAGTTGCTCAGTGGTGTCCGACTCTTTGCAACCGCATGGACTATACAATCCATAGAATTCTCTAGGCCAGAATACTGGAGTGGGTAGCCTTTCCCTTCTCCAGGGTATCTTCCCAACCCAGAGATCGAATCCAGGTCTCCCGCATTGCAGGAGGATTCTTTACCAGCTGAGCCACAAGCGAAGCCCTCCGCCTGTCTCCTGTCACCCTAATAACTTCCTGTCCAGAACAACTGTAAGTGAATTAAGAGAGGGACTCCACGGGATTGGATTTCATCACTTCCAAGGACTAGGGAGAAGAAGTTTGACCAGCAGGGGGCAGCAGAAACTCAGCAAGACAAGAGTTAAAGGCTCTGGGATTCTCCCTGGGGGGAGGACAAGCAGAATTAACCCAGCAAACACCCAGGGCTGAGAGCTCGGGCCCCTTCCTTGCCCCTTGGCCTTTGATCTCTTGACCATCTGCCTTCTGCTTTTGCTACTGCATAGCCTTCCATTTTTCTACTTCGGCCTAAAGTACAGCTAAAAACAACAACCAGGGTTAAAGCTAGAAGGGAATCTGGTTTTTTGTCTCAAAGTGTAAATATTTTAATCATATTTCCTGATTATAAAGTTGTATGCTCTGATTGTAAAATAATTCAAATAATACAGAAATGTAGACAGTCTGAAGTTCAAGTTCCAGTAAACCTCCTACCCTCATAGGACCCACCTTTTCTTTTCTCCCAAATAGCACTTAGTATTTTAAAACTATCCTTCCAAACTTCTCTCAATGCATAAGTATACTCACATAGAATATATTTAGTATATGTGCTGCTGAAGTGAGAATTACATAATTTGCTTTTTTATTAAAATAAGTTCCTACTATACATTGTATATTACTTCTTGGACATCTTTCCCCATCATTACATACAGGGTTGAGCAGTATTTCATCGACTGGAATACCAGTTCATTGGATCATTACCTTTCTGACAGGCACTGACAATGATTTCAGTTTTTAATTATAACCTTTGCTACAGCAACCATGTTTATGCACAAATCTCAACACATCCATCTGATTATCTCTTAGAATAAACAGATACATAGACATGGGAGTTCTGTTCTTCATTTTGAGAGACACTGAGGTCCAGATCAGGGAAGTGAGCTGATAGGGAAGCCATATTGTCTAACTCTTCGTTCTGGGTTGCCCACCTGCCAAGAGCAAAGACTTTCAATTTCAAAACCAACTCAGAAAGCCCCTGAGGAGTCAAATGCAAACCTAGCAGATACCAGCAGTTTCTGTATGATCCACATCCCATGGGGAAAGGAGACCTAAAAGTCAGCTCTACTCACTCTAAATGGGGGTTCTTGCCCCTTGACACTATTTCAAAAGGAGAGTCAATTTGCCCTAGCAACATAGTTCATCAATAGTTGGATAAACAGAAGGATATGGCCCAGCCAAAACCAGTGAAATGCTAGTGCTCATGCCAGAGGATCTGCGAATTTCTGAGATACTAGGAGAACTTCAGGTGGTGCAGCTGGTAAAGAATCTGCCTGTTCAGTGCAGGAAACAAACAGGTGCAGGTTCAATCCCTGGGTCGGGAAGATCCCCTGGTAGAGAAAATGGCACCCCAGTCCAGAAAATCCCATGGACAGAGGGGCCTGGAGGGCTATAGTCCATGGTGTCGCAGAGTCAGACACAACTCTGAGCATGCATGTACAGAACTTCAAGCCTTTAAATATACATTCCCTAAAAATAATTTAGAACCTGAGGCTGCCCATTCAAAAGTAGCTTCTCATAATTAAAATGTGGTCCTTCAAATAATGTCACTGACAACCCTCAAAATCTGAGCTTCTCTAAAATGTGTATACGTGCTATGGGTAATCCAAAAATCATTTCTCTCAGGCATTGAATAGCACCATTATGGTTCTTGCATAAGATTTATACTCTTAATTATGTTCTACTTGGACAAACATTTTAAGTCTTTGTAATCTTATAAAATGACAATGATGTGGGAATGTGTAAGGCCTTTCAGGACAACAAAGAACAGAGGAGGCTTCGCTGGTGGCTCAGTGGTAAAGAATCCACCTGCCAGTGCAGAAGATATGGGTTTGATCCCCGGGTCAGGAAGATCCCTTGGAGAAGGAAATGGCAACCTATTCCAGTATTCTTGTCTGGGAAATCACATGGACAGAAGAGCCTGGCAGGCTACAGTCCATGGGGTCGCAAAAGAGTCAGAGACAACTTAGAGACTGAACAGGGAGCAAAGGGGGTGGGGTCACTGCACGATGACATCTAACATGATTACCCCAGATGATAGCTAGTTTAAAATACTCCCTTCTGGGCTTCCCTGGTGGTTCGCTGGTTAAAAATCCTCAGGCCAATGCAGGGGACACAGGTTTGATTCCCTGGTCCAGGAAGATCCCACATGCCATGGAGCAATTAAGCCCGTGCACAGCTATGGAGCCCACTCGCTGCAGCAACTGACGCCTGAGCGCGGAGAGCCCGTGCTCAGCAACAAGAGGGGCCGCTGCAATGAGAAGCCCACTTGTCGCAACTAGAGAAGACCCACCACAATAAATAAACAAATCTTTCTAAAAATAAATAAAATAAAACACACCCTTCTGTGAAAATGGTACACATAGGGTCTTATCACTCTCTTCCACTTCAGGCTAGAGGCACCTCAGCCTCCCCATCCAAGAGATGGGAGCAGCCCCATACCTCTTATTTCCAAAGGCCCTCTTCACAATCAGTATCAGAACTGGAAGCAGCAGGATGGTGGCGCAGACAATCCCCACGATGATCACCAGCTGGTTACCACCCAGGATCTCTGGTCTGAGGGCTCCCGGGGTCACCAATGCTTGGGAAAGGAGAAGAGCAATGACAGAGCCTCAACATTCCAGAGAAGAGCTGGGAGCCTCACCAGTTCTATGCCAAGCAGCAACAGCCACGTCAGGAAGTAGGAGGAGAAGGCCAGACTTCACCCCACATGGAAGCACTGGTACTCCAGCTGACCCCTTTAGATTGAGAACCAGCCTCTGCCCACCCCATTTTACCCTTAAAATATAGATGAAGGTGGGTGGGTAAACAGAATATCACCTGACCTACAGTAGAGTTTCCATTTACATTAACAATTCTATCTTAAAATGTGGTTCACCAAATGACACAAATAACAGACATCTTAGAGGCTGCTGACCTTTCTATGGTGAAGTGATTGTTTTCAAAGGTATCTAAGCTACAACACAGCCCCACAGTCATGATACCAAGCACGAAATTTCCATCCATCTATATAGCACCCTTCACCCATTTCCTCAATTTACTCTGAACACATTTATCAAACATCTCCTGAGTGCCAGATAGTACTAGGCACAGAAGATACAAATAACACCAATTATTGCTGGTGTAATAATACCAATACCAATAATGCATGGTCTGTGCCCTCAGGGAGGCGACAGTGTGCGCGGAACACCACAGACTGCTCTGTGGGGGGCAAAGCACTGAGAAACGGGCGCCCAATTCTATGGGGGCAGAACCTGAGAATCTGTCAGCAAGTTTTAAAGTTTGAGTCTGAAAGGAACTATCAAGGATTTTAGCAAACAATAGGAGAAGGATGGAGGTGGGGGAGGTAGGGACATTATACTCAAGGTCTGGGGCCTTTAGCTTCAGGATGGTGCTTGGAGAAACTAGCAAGAGGGCCATGGCTCTGGGTCAAAGGTTGAATTTGAGGGTGTGATGGGAAATGAGGCTGGGTAGATAATAGGATCTAAGTCATGAAGCACCTTAATTATCTTGATGAGGTATTTGTTTCAATCTTTTGTTTTGCTTTGTTTTTTGTTTTTTCCGTAGGTGATGGAGAAGACATCGAAAGACTGTAGGAAGTTCAGATTTGTGATTGAGAAAGATGGCACTGAGAATGAGGGGTAGTGACTAAGAGTGAAAGCAGAGACTGGTGAGAGGACTGCAGTCTAAGACAGACAGACAGTCAGAATAAGGGGATGGTGCCAGATAAGAAAGAAGACAGATCCAAAGTCAGTAGTAGAAATGACAGGACTTGTTGACTTGTTAGACTGGGGGTCCTGGGAAAGGGAAAAATCAAGTACAACTCCCAGGCATCCAGTTGGATAATTGTGTAGATAGCGGTGGCATCAACTGAGGTTGGAGAGATGGGCAGGGGACAGGTGTGAGTGGTGGATTTGGATTATTTGTGTGTGAGTATTTGTGGAAAATCTGGATGGAGTTCATATACAGAGTCAGACGGATAGACAGATGGATGGACGGATAGATAGATAGGTTGTGTGTAACAGAATATGTTAAATGTATACAGAACGTGGTGTTCAATACCACTGGGGTAGGGAAGATCCAGGATGAACAGTTAGAGTACCACTGGTGATCTACACTGGGGGAGAGGCAGAAGTAGAAGACTGCTTGCAGAGTGCTTTGAGTTAATGGAAGATGAGACAGGAGACCCCGAGTTCAGTCCTTCAGCAAGCTATCTGGCTGTGTCTAGAAAGAAATGAATAATGTATCATGAGGAAAGTCGTGCAACTCAGAATACACTAAAAACACTGAGTTGTACATTTTAAAAGGGTGAATTGTGTGGCATGTGAGTTGTATCTCAATAAAGCTCTTTCAAGAAAGGGTAAAACACTGGCTATCTGTTTTACATATGGTAATGTATATGTTTCAATGCTATTCTCTCCAATCATCCCACCTTCTCAACTCCTCCCACTGAGTCCAAAAGTCTGTTCTTTATGTCTGTGTCTCCTGGAGGGGTGGTGTAAGGAGGGAGGTGGGGGGCAGTTCAAGAGGGACGGGACACATGTATGCCTATGGCTGATTCATGTTGATGTGTAGCAAAAGCCACCACAATATTGTAAAGTAATTACCCTCCAATTAAAATAAATAAAGAAATTTTAAGTGAAAGAGGGGAAAAAAGAAAAGGTATGGAGTAGGGTGAGAGCTAAAGTAGAGAAGGACACAGGTAAGGGGAAGAGTTGAGGGTACGCATGTGCTTAATGGTAGAAGCCCATGGAAAGTATGAGCTTAAAGAGGCATGTTGTGAGGGTTCTGAGAAGGAGAGGAGGGCACCACCTGAGCACAGGGGCTCAGATAAGCCCCCAAAGGGAAGGGAGCTCAGGATGGCAGGGGAAAGATGAGGATGGAGTAGATGTAGGTCTGTTTGTGGGTGTGGAGGGCTCAGAAGTTGCCTGAGTTCCCACTAATGGCTTCTCTTTCCTGTGAAGCAGAGGTAAGACTTCTGAGAGTGAAGAAAGCCATCTGTCCTGCCTCCCTCTCCATCTGGGATCCTCCGTAATTTACAAGAAGGTGCCTCCATAGACTTAAGTCTCTGGCCAGAGGTATTGAGGGTAGAGGTGTTTCCTCACCCCATCCCTGCCCCCAACCAACCACAGCCAACCCCTGGGGCCCTCGCAAAAGGCAAAGTCCACAGGCCACATCCTGACAGCTAACTGGGTTCTGGTTTAACTTTAACCCCTCATTTATCAACCTCTCTGTAAACACAATTGAGTCTTTACTCTCCTCCTCACCAATTGCCTTAATACACACTGTTTACCAGAATAAAGAACCTTGGATCAGAAACTCCCTCTCTTTTTGGTTCTTTCCCCTCCTGTTTCCTTTGTTCTTGCTGTCTCTCACCAGCTCAGGAGCATCTTCCCTTCTACTACAGAACATAGAGCATCTCCCTTGAAGCCAAGTCAAAACGACCCCAATCCATCTCTGAGCTCCTGTGTTTTTAAATTGGTATGTTACAGAAACCATGGGTGAGGTTTGGCAGAGGGGTTGGCGTTCACTCAGTATTACCTTTTTTCCCTTGACCTACGATCAGGGAAGCACTAGGGTGAGGCAGGCAAGGTGCCCAGGGCACCACATTTAAGGAGGGATTACTCTCAAGGTCGTGCCAGCACAGGGTAGAGTGCTTGGTAAGTACAAGGCTCATCAGGGGCAGGCAGGTCCAGGACCTGAGCGTGGTGCCTCCTTAAATTCTGCATCCCAGAAGCCTCTCCAGCTTCACCCTAGTACTGGCCCTGCCTACCAGCTATGCAGTCCCTCCTCCCCACCCGGCCAAATGTTACATACTTCGGGACTCTTTCAGGATCACTTGCAGCACAGTGGTTTTCCTGAATGTCAGGTTCCCCAGGTAGATACTGCAGGTGTAGTTTCCTCCATCTGACTCCTTCACTCCGTGGAGCATCATGGAGCCATCATTGCGGGAAGTGTCTCCCACCAAGTTTACACGGTTCAGGAAGCGGCCCCAGTTCTGGGGCGCCCTGAGTTTGGGTTGATAGCGCAACACAATCTCCTCCTAGACGGAAAGGTAAAATGTATGAGACTAAAGAACTGGGGTTGGAGGGAGCTCTTGGGATTCACAGGCCCTGTGTGTAGAAGCAGTAAAGGTATCATCAGAAAGTATCAGAAAACACAAAGTCATGGACACACGTGTCCACACCAACCTCCTTGCTGCTCCTTGAGTGCTGGCCTCAGGGCCTTTGCACTTGCTGCTCCCTATGCCTGGAACACTCTTCCCACCTAGACAGACACATGGTTGCCTCCTTCACTTCCCCGAGACCTCTACTCAAATGTTACCTTTTTGGTGAGGCCTCCCTGACCACCTACATAAAATATCAATCACAAAAGCCTACTTTCTTGCTCTCCATAGCTCTTACTGTTACCTGACATACTGTGTATATATTTCTTCATTATTACTATTATTATTTGGCTGCATTGGGTGTTAGTTGCCCCACAGCATGTGGGATCTTAGTTCCCTGACCAGGGATCAAACCAGTGTCCCTGCATTGCAAGACAAATTCTTAACCACTGGACCACCAGGGAAATTCCTATTTATTCATTATTTTTCTATGTATCTCCCTCCATCTTGACTATAAGTCTCCCACCAGGGCAGGAGCTTTGAGTGTTCACCATACAACAGATGCTTTAAAAATACTTGTTAGATAAAAAAGTGTCAGAATTTTTCATAAAGGTATATAAATACCATTATTTTTTAGAAGTTTTTAAGAACAGGAAATGAGGATACAGACGCAAATATGAATGAAAAGACCTGCACCTAACCTGTTGTCTCTTGTGATTCAAATTCATAACTCACAAATGTCAACTATCATCCTATGTTCTGCAGTGACTCAGTTTGGTGGATGACATTTAAATATACAATGAGTACCCAGAGGTGAACCTGAAACTACATGTAATTCTCAGACCCCACCATGAAGCCATCCTTTCTGATCCACTCAGACAGCATGTAGGAATCAACTGAGTATAAATGACATTTTGTACGGATGACCTAGAATATGTCTTCATTTGTAAAAGCTAAATCTTTTCTAAGCTTTGTACCTTAACTTTTATTAAAAATAAGTTATGTGGGATGTCTCTCAAGACACAGCTTGACTCATCAGGACATCACCATGCCATAGTTGACATCTACCGGTCTAATGAACTAACCTGCTGATTACTGCTTCAGAGTTCCTGTGAAGAAGCCTCCTCATCTTGGCCTCCAGGACTACTAATCCCAACATTCAACACATTCATGAAGACAAAGAAAATCCCATCACATAAATGGGGTGAAGGGGCACAAAAGAAAACTCACAAAAATAACCCAAATAAGACAATCATTCTTATGCCTAACCCACTGCTTTCCTGGCTAGGTCACCAAAATCATTCCCCCTTGTTACTCCATGAATTCTATAAAAAGGAAAAGAGCGAGAAAGGATAAAACCAAGATGCAGTAGCCAAGTCATGAACCAATGTTCTACATCACCATGTCCTAGATGCATCTTGACAACCCAAAAAGTTGAGCAGTAGCAACATCTACTTCTTCATCATCTTCATTAGTCATTTTTCCCAACTGGAAGCTGAAATTGCCCAGCCAAGCTAAGAGGCCCAGTTTTTTTTTTTTTTTAACAAACTCCAAAGTCCAAGCCCTCATGAGACCACCATGTGGCACCTGATGCCTAGGTTCTTGCTGTCCCCACTCTGTCCTGACACCATTGGCCAGGGGCTTCTTCTACACAACAAAGGCTTCTCCTCCTTACCTTGGCAGGCTCTCCTGATGAGAACATCCAGTCTACCCTGCTCATGTGCTTCTCTTCTGTGCTATGGAAAACACATCCCATCTGAGTCGAATCACCCACATGAACCATGAGCTCTGGGGATAAAATGATAAATCAAGTCAAACTCAAAGCATAATCTCTAGAAGCCAAAGAACTTCTGGAGGAGATCATGTTTAGCCAAACATCCTCAGCAGTAACATCAATGTCACCACCACATACTGCACACTTTCCCCCTGTGTGGTCAGAATATTCAGAGGCCTCTCATCAAACCAACACAATACCCCAAGGATAAAAGAGTACCCTCTAGCTGCCAACACACATCAAGTCTGAAGGGTCCCACTGACATCAATAAACACTTTCTGGCTTCTCTTTAATTCCTTTCTCCTTCTCCTTTTCTAGAACTTCTCCCACAAGCCCCAACTTCACTTCAAGCCTGTAACAAAGAATGGAAAACCATGAAGCCCTCCACTTTCTGTTCACCAACTTGGGTACCCACATCTGCTTCACAGAAACAGGAAGTAGAAATAACTCTCATTCTTATAAGTAACCCACTGGCTTTCCCAGGTGAAAAACTGAATCATGGGTGACTCTCTTCAACTTAATTCTTTTACAAGTTGTCTTAGGACTTGCTTAGGACAATTCTGGCTAGACTACAGGTCACAGGACTGCTTGCTAATTAGGGCAAACAATAGACAGTTTTCCTTTTGACTTTTCTATCTTATTCCCTGCCCCCACTTCCCCACCTGTTCCCCCTTCCACACCTGCTCCCCCTTCCCCTCATTCTTGGCTTCCCATCTCATAGTCTCTTCCTCCTGCTTATTTGTGTAAACAGTTGATCTCATCATATGTTTACTGCTTATGTTATTTTAAAAAGTCCCTGAAAAAGAAAACGATTAGAAAGATGCTTCGGATTTTTCAACAGTGCTCTATATAAATCAACCGAAAAGTCAGTCAAGAAATGAAAGGCAGGATGGCATTTAAGGGAGACACAAGTCTAGGTCTTATTTGGACAGAGTTCCTTCAAAAGAGCATTGAGCAAAGCTCACAAAGCAACACAGTACATCAGCTAACTTTTTCATCCAAACTGTGTCCCTGGGAAAACACTAACTTCCCGCTCAGCAGGAAAGATGTACAATGGGAGGAAAGCAAAAGAAAATATTATGAACTTGGAGCTCTATGGAGGGAATTATTTTGGAAGTAATAAAAATTAACTCCAAAGAATATCAATAGCGAAGGAAACGCCCTCTAAATCTATGAGTATATCAAGAATTGAACCCTATGTTTTAAATGCAATAATAAGAACTAAATATTCTGAATTCTTTCAACACACCAGACATGTGCTAGACACCGAGGTTATCACCTAGTCATTACAATATTTTGAGATACGCATTATTATCCTCCCATTTCACAGAGGAAGAAACTGAATGAGCCCAGCGCTTCATGGCCAGGAAAAGGCAGAGCAGAACTCACACCCAGGCCTGAGTGAAAACAAAGTCCACATGTTCTCGCTCCCTTTACTGTTACCACCTCACAGAAGTGGAATGATGACTGATTCTAGAGCAAAAGTACAGGAAGTTAACATTATTTTTATTTGTAATAAAACTGTCTATACAACTGAAATTTGTCTTTCAAATATTAGGAACTTTCTCTAAATTAAAATTTAAAGCCTGTCAGATGTGACTCTAAAACATGGACTTTTAATTATTTCATTATATTCCCTCCTTTCTAGTATCATCAGTTCAGTTCAGTTGCTCAGTTGTGTCCGACTCTTTGCAACCCCATGGACTGCAGTATGCCAGGCTTCCCTGTCCATCACCAACTCCCAGAGCTTGCTCAAATTCAATTCCATTGAGTCAGTGATGCCATCCAACCATCTCAAGCTCTGTCGTCCCCTTCTCCTCCTGCCTTCAATCTTTCCCAGCAACAGGGTCTTTTCCATTGAGTCAGTTCTTCGCATCAGGTGGCCAAAGTATTGGAGTTTCAGCTTCAGCATCAGTCCTTCCAATGAATATTCAGGATTAATTTCCTTTAGGATTGACAGATTTGATCTCCTTTCAGTCCAAGGGACTCTCAAGAGTCTTCTCCAACAACACAGTTTAAAAGCATCAATTCTTTAGCACTCAGCTTTCTTTATGGTCCAACTCTCACATCCATACATGACTACTGGAAAAACCATAGCTTTGACTAGGTGGACCTTTGTGGGCTTTTTCTAGTATCATGGGGCTTTCCTGATAGCTCAGTTGATAAAGAATCTGCCTGCAATGCCGGAGACCCCAGTTCAATTCCTGGGTTGGGAAGATCAGCTGGAGAAGGGATAGGCTACCCACTCCAGTATTCTTGGGCTTCCCTTGTGGCTCAGGTGGTAAAGAATCCACCTGAAATGTGGAAGACCTGGGTTTGATCCCTGGGTTGGGAAGATCCCCTGGAGAAGGAAAAGGCTACCCACTCCAGTATTCTGGCCTGGACAATTCCAGGCACTGTATAGTCCATGGGGTCGCAAAGAGTTGTACATGACTGAGCGACTTTCACTTTCACCTTCACTTTCTTTCTTTCTAGTATCACAGGCCTTCATAAATTGAGAAGAGATCCGAATAGAATAAAAATAACTAGAGTAATGGAGTAATGATGTTGAAGCCGAAACTCCAATACTTTGGCCACCTGATGTGAAGAGCTGACTCATTTGAAAAGGCCCTGATTCTGGGAAAGATTGAAGGTGGGAGGAGAAGGGGATGACAGAGGATGAGATGGTTGGATGGCATCACCGACTCAATGGGCATGAGTTTGAGTAAACTCCGGGAGTTGGTGATGGACAGGGAGGTGTGGTGTGCTGCAGTCCATGGGGTCGCAAAGAGTCAAACAGGACTGAGTGACTGAACTGAACTGAACCAAACTGAATGAAGTTAGGATCCAGAAGTCACCTAAAGCTCACCTACTGTGCCACCTACCACGTGCATGAGTCTCTTCAATAGGAGTATTTTCTCTCCCTGAACAATGTGTTTTCCAAAATGCTAAAGCAAACTCAAAACATTGTTCAGGCAATTCATCTGCTATGAAAACCATTTTGAATCTTAAAAATACAGATCATATGATTGAAATAATATGCACATGCTTGAGTAACAATTACTTTTGTTCTCTTTATACATCTCATTAACTATTATATATCTATACAGTGTAATTATATAATCTGTGAACACACACATTCAGATGCCTTAAAATCCTTTCACAGAATACAAGGAAGCAAATTCTTTGAAAAAAAAAAGAGAGAGAGAGAAAAGAAAAGAAAAAGAAAACTGTCTCTAGCTTGTAAAATAAGAACTATGAGTAAAAGAGTTGAAGTAGTAGAAAGACGGAAGAATTACAAACTGAAGAGTAAACTTCGTGGAGGAAGCTGTACATGAGTTTCCACGTGGGAGGAGATGGCCACCAGGCAAATGGCTAACACTCAGAGCTATTCCCACTCTGGCTGGAAGGAAAAAGTAAATACAAGTTGCCCCACTGGCTACTGGGAAATATCTGCCTCCCCTAACATTGCTCTAGCCTATTCCCATGGACTCAACTCTTAAAATTGCCTCCTTTGGATTTGTCCCCTCTGTGTCTCTTCTAAGCAGGAAAAGGCACCATTTTGTAGGACATGCTTGCATGTTCTCAAGGCCAGCATCAGAGAACAAAGAAGAAAGGAGTAACTCAAAGATAATCCTTGGGAGACACAGGTAACTGGTTCATTTCTTCTTCCTGGAGAGCCCTAGCTTTGAAATCAAAAGAAAAAGAATGCAATTGATAAAAAGTATTAATATGAAGGTAGGAGTGACGTCAGAGGCCACTTTCCACAATTCCTACTACCACTTCGTTTTTTTAGAAATCAGATTCAAGTGAGAGATGCTAATTTAAGGATTTCATTCATTTGACGAATGTTTATTGACTGCGTTCTGTGTCAGGTGCTGTGCCTGGGGCGGTCCATGGGACAAGAACACAGATGCAGGTGGACAGGGGAGACACACCTGAACAGGTGTGAGGAGTGCATCACCAGAGAGAGCTGGGTGCTTCAAAGGAGCTCACTGAAAGGACAGACCTAAGCAAGCTGGCTGGGAGTGGGGTCTAAATCCTAGCTCCCGCACTAGACAGCAAGCTCTCCTGAGGCCATAGACTGTTCTTCCATTTCGCACTTTTTTGTTGTTGTTTTCTTTTTTTCAATTTTTTATTTTTGGTCGCACTGGGTCTTCATTGCTGTGTGCAGCCTCATTCTAGTTGTGGCGAGCGGAAGCCGCCCTCTATTTGCACTGTGCAGGCTTCTCACACTTGTGGCTTCTCTTGCTGCGGAGCATGGGCTCTAGGGTGCACAGGCCTCAGTAGCTGTGGCTCACAGACTTAGTTGCCCTGCAGCATGTGAAACCTTCTGGGACCAGGAGTCAAGCCCGTGTCCCCTGCACTGGAGGTGGATTCTCATCCACTGTACCACCAGCCAAGTCCCCGTTTCACACGTTTAAAGAGTATACCTAATTCTGTGATTTTCAAACTTTTTAAAGGAGCAGAATTCTTTCTTCAAACAAAATCTTACCTGGCAGTCCAAGAATACAACAGGAAAAAGGAAGAGGACTCTGCTGTAGTGGAGGTGGAGACCTGAGGCCCTGGCAAATGCCTTCTTCTCACCCTGTGTGGCCCACTAGCTCCCTTGGACCCTAAGTGTTCTACAGAGCGTGTTTTTTAAAACCAACAAACTACTGACGCTATTTATAAATAGGAACATGAGGTCCTAGGAAGTTAGGGAAACCTGCTCATTTCTTTTATATCCCCCAGAACACTTAACATAAAGTGAAAGAAAAGTGAAAGTGAAGTCGCTCAGTCATGTCCAACTCTTTGCGACCCCATGGACAGTAGCCTGCGCCAGGCTCCTCCATCCATGGGATTTTCTAGACAAGAGTACTGGAGTGGGTTGCCATTTCCTTCTCCAGGGAATCTTCCCCGACCCAAGGAGAGAACCCAGGTCTCCTGCATTGTAGACAGATGCTTTACCATCTGAGCCACCAGGGAAGTCATAGTTACCTATTAAATATGGAGACAACATCAATCTTCAAAATTTATAGGGAGTATCAGGGTATAGTGAAAAGAACATGAACTATGTTGACAGAGGTACCAGGGTCCAAGTATTGAATATGCCATTTAATAAATATATCTCCTCAGGCAAGTCACTTAACCTCTCTAAGCCTCAGTTAACACGTCTATAAAAGGAAAAGGAGAACACAGTACTTCCTTCACAGAATTTTCATAAGGATGAAATATGTTTAAAGTAATGATAAAATAATGATCATCAGAATTTTTATTTAAAGAGCACCACTGGGACTTCCCTAGAGGTCCAGTGGTTAAGAATCTGCCTGCCAATGCAGGGGACACAGGTTCAATCCCTGGTCTGGGAATTCAGATCCCACATGCCATGGGGCAACTAAGCCCATGCACCACAACTACTGAGGCCATGCACTAGAGCTCATGGTCCACAACAAGAGGAGTCACCTCAACAAGGAGTCTGCACACCACAAGTAGAGAGTAGCCCCTGCCATGAGCAGCAACAAAGACCCAGCACAGCCAAAAATAATAAATAGATAATATTTTTTTAATCCTCTATGGGTTACTTCAAAAACTAATAATAATAGCAAGCACCATTTATTGAGGACTCACTTCGTGGTAAGTTCCTAGCCCACTGACTGGCATTTGCTCAACAAAATCAGTTCACATCCATCTTTGCACACCAAATCTCTTGCCCTTTGCCCTTCTCTGAGTAAGTATTCATGTTACCTTTGGGTTCCTCTGGTAGTACATGCAGAACAATCACTTTTTTGAACACAAGGCTCTCCATCTGGAAGCGGATTTCACAGGTAAAGTTTCCTTGGTCGGTCTCTTCCACGTTTTGGAGCAGGAGGGAACCGTCATGGTGTAAGATGTCCCCCACCAAGTGCACACGATTCTGGAAGCGCCCCAAAGGCACGCTGATGTTGGAGTAATAGTAGAGCACGTACTCATCCTGGAGGGAAACACAACATCAGAGGAAATCTCAAGCCCATGGCACCAGACCCAGAAGTCTGGGTTCAAAAGCCCCTGCTCCATGGAGGCAGCATAGTCATCACCACCATTGGGATCAAAAAAGTACTTGGTATCCAATTAAGAAGAAGAAGAATGTGCCAGACAATACATTAACTGACACAAGACTCTGTAGTTTCTATTAGACAAAGACAATTGGAGAAACAGGGTGAATATATTTTTGTTTCTTATAGTTTAAGGTAAAATGTAACACCTGCTCTGAAATCACTTCGGGGATTCAAACTCACCACTTGTAGTGTTTGTTTGGCCATGCTGCACAGCATGTGGGATCTTAGTTTTCCAACCAGGGATCGCACCTGGACTCTAAGCAGTGAGAGTGCAGAGTTCTAACCACAGGACCTCCAGGGAATTCCACAAACTCACAACTTTTGAAAAGTACCTCCCTGTGTTCTGCCATGGCCCCTGGATTTGATGGCGTCTAAATGCAATCCCACAGACTGGCTGTTTTAAGAATTCCTGCCATGTTGGCTGGCACCCCTCTCCTTTCCACCCTCCTTCAGGCAGCACATCGTAAGGCATGAGAAGGAATCACCAAAGGAAATGGTTTACAGACTGGAGGGAGGAACCATAGGGAGTTCTTATTTTCACTTAGGCCATGGGTATACCCCTCTTATAACAATAAACAGTCAGGTGGTTAAAACTTCACCTTCCAAAGCAGAGGGTGAGGAGGGCTCAATCCCTGGTCAGGGATTAAGATCCCACATGTCTTGGGGCCAAAAAAATCAAAACATAAAACAGAAGCAATATTGTAACAAATTCAACAAAGATTTTAAAAATGGTCCGCAGGAAAAAAAAAATTATTTGAAAAAAGTAAATAGTAACAAAAATTTGAGTGACATTAACATTATGGAAATAACATGCTCTGAGCTACTGGAACAATATTTCATTTGAAAACCTTAGGACTTTATTGCTAGTCATACATTACTTGGAGTATATTTCACAAATGAGCCCGATACACAAGTATCTCCACAGAATCTCAGATGAGGCTTCATACACTTTTGCTAATAAAAAGAGCTCCCTCACTCAGCCATGCTGAACCTGCCAATCCTAACAGTTTAAGCAGCCATGAAGGAGAAAGAGATGATTCCCCAGCACTTAAATGGATCAGCAGAATGCCGAAAGAATCTTCACCCTCCTCAAAGATTGCTGTGACATCATTCCTGTGCCTGGGCCATAACTCTTTCTGTCTAGACCAATGTGTTTTCATTCTTCTCACCCCTCCCACCCACCTATGCTACTCCACAAATAGGAGAAACAGAGGAAAGAAAAGAAACTAAAAGAACTTTATGTGTATGTCTCCCATTAGCTTCTCAATGACCTAAAAAGTAAGCATTGCCATTATTCACAGATGGGGACATGAAGCTCAGAGAGGTTGAGTAACTTGCCCAGCTGACTGTAATCAGCTGTGTACAGCCAAGAGACCAAACTAAAAGGAGGCTCAGTTCTGGTGAGCTCCAGAACCCAAGTCCTGAAACCCCACCTCATGGCACGGGATGACCCGATTCTCCCTCTCCCCACAGTCTGACAGCATTGGCCAGGGGCTTCTAATACACAGCAGGGTTTCCCCCTTTTTATTTTTTTTTTTTTTTTCATTTATTTTTATTAGTTGGAGGCTAATTACTTTACAACATTGCAGTGGTTTTTGTCATACATTGAAATGAATTAGCCATGGATTTACATGTATTCCCCATCCCGGTCCCCCTTGTTACCTTGACGTGCTCTCCTGATGAAAACAGCCAGTCTACCTTGGTCACATGTTTCTCTCCTGTGCTCTGAGAAACACATCCCAGAAGGGCCGAGTCACCCACGTGGACTGTTAACTCCATGGCAGAAATAGTCAAGTCATTCAGGCCCAACGAATAACCTAGAGAAGGCAAAAGGCAAGAGAGACATCATCAGACAAACACACTCAACAACAAAAACTAGTATTAATCTCTAAGTAGATGCAGACTTTCCTGGTGGCTCAGATGGTAAAGAATCTGCCTGCAATGCAGGATTCCCGGGTTCAATCCCTGAGTCAAGAAAATCCCCTGGAGAAGGGAATGGTTACCCACTCCAGTATTCTTGCCTGGAGAAGTCCAGGGACAGAGGAGCCTGGTGGGCTATAGTCAATGGGGTCACAAAGAGTCTGACATAACTAAGCGACTAACATCTTCCCTCTCCAGATGACCCAACGTGAACAAGGTATTCAGAGGCCTTTAATTCAACCCAGTGTGGTATTCCCAAGGGTAAGAAAAATACCCTGTGGTTACCCCCATGTAGCTCAAGTCAGAGGACTTGTACATACTGTCCTATGCTCCTAGCTAGACCCTCCCTCTTTTCTAGACTTCATCCCTGAAATCTCCTTTCTAAAGAAAGAAGAGAGGGAATTCCTTGGCAATTCAGTAGATAGGACTCTGTGCTTTCACTGCTGAGGGCACAGGTTCAATCCCTGGTCAGGGAACTAAGATTCTACAAGGCACATAGCAAGGCTAAAAAAACAAAATAAAAATAAGAAGAAAGAAGAGAAACCCTGAAATCTCTCCCTTGAGGTCATGAATTTAGACACCTATAAGCAGGTAATGTGATATCTCTGGCTCCTGGTTTCCTACCAGCCCCCTAACTGAAAGGCCAGTTCACAGGTAACTTTGCTTCCCTCAGTTTTTCTCCTTTTTTCGTTCCTCTACAAAAGCTTATCTCTGAATGTGCTGGCTGATTCTGGCTGTAGTGCAGATCTTTGTAATTAGGTCAATACAGAGCACGGTTCCTCCCTTGAATTTCCTTTGTCTGCTTTCTCCCCACCTGCCCTCTCTAGTTCTACCCTCAGTCTGGCTTTCCAGCCTCTAGGGGTTAGTCTACATCATACCCCTCCAATATCTGTCCCTTGTTCAAGTAATTTCTCTTTTCACTTAAAAAGAAACCATTTCTAAAGAGAAAACCATCACATGGATTTTTTCTGTTTTCACAAGACATGCTCTGTGCAAAGAGACAACCACAGCAAGACACAATCAGATGTTGGCCAGTTCCCATCAAAGAAGAGCCAAGTGAATGGATTTGGGTATAAACAGAAAATGCACCAGCCTTTCCATCCAAGCTGTTGTCCCAAGAGAAGAGTGTTAACTTCCTGCCCAACAGCAGGCACACACAGTGGGGAAGAGGGGCAAGAAAACATGAACTCGCCACCCACTGGAGGGAATTATTTTGAAAGAAATCAAAAGTACCTCCAAAAATGATTTGGAATTTTCCTGTAAGGAAGAACTGAGCAGCTTCAAGTGTGGTTAAGGGGATAAGAAGCTATTTAATGTGATATGAAGAGTGCTGACTGTAGAATTAAATGAGCTTGCTAGATGGTAAGAGCAGCAAGCAAAGCAGAGAGAAACTTAGACTTGACAGGTAGTCTTTGTACAGAAATAGCTGAAGAAATCTCAAGACTTTTCTACAGAGGAGGAAAACCTCTCCATCAGGAAGTACAATCCTGGCCGCCCAGTGTCACCAGGCCACTCCACAGGGGGTTAGATTGCTAAGTCTCTGATGGAAGGGCAAAATGCTGCAGGCTGCTTCACCCATCTCTGGAAAGAAAAGAAAGTGAAAGTGAAAGTCGCTCACAACCCCATGGACTAAACAGTCCATGGAATTCTCCAGGCCAGAATACTGGAGGGGCTAGCCATTCCCTTCTCCAGGGGATCTTCCCAACCCAGGGATCAAACCCAGGTCTCCTGCATTGCAGGCAGATTCTTTACCAACTGAGCTATCAGGGAAGCCGCTGAGACGATTATAACCCTGATTCCATGGTGAAAAAATTTCTCTAATATGGACTATTTTCTTGTATGTGCATGTGTCTAACTGCATGTGTGTGCAAATGCTATGTTGCCTGGAATTAAAGCAAAAACCATTCTTTTGTGCACTTTGCTGAGTCATTCTTTAGATCACCATGCAAAGTCCAAAAAGCTAATAAAAAAGAGAAAAATGGAATGGATAAACAACAAAGTCTTACTGTATAGCACAGGGAACAACAGTCAATATCCTGTGATAAACCATAATAGAAAAGAATATGAAAAAGTATGTATATATGTATAACTGAATTGCTTTGCTACACAGCAGAAATTAACACAACATTATAAATCAACTATACTTCAACAAAATAAAAAGTTTTGGACTTCCCTAGTGGTCCAGTGGCTAAGACTCTGAGCTCCCAATGCAGGGACCTTGGGTTCAGTCCCTCAACAGGGAACTGGATCCCACATGCCACAACTAAAGACCCCGAGTGCTGCAATTCAGGCCCAATGAAGCCAAATAAATAGAATAAATTCTAAAATAAAATTCAAAAAAAAAATTTTTTAAGAAAACAAATTTAAAAGTCATGAGAGTAAAGCACCTAATTAATTTATTCTTCTGACAGAGCCGTGTCCATGGGATAAAGAGAGAGACAAGGGGCTAAAGGATGAAAGGGGGCTAAAGGATAAAAAGACAATGGATGAGCAAGAAGCAGCAGGCTTGAGCACTGTAGGAACAGGAGACTCCAACTCAGTTCAAGGAGGCAACCAGAGCAGGCTTTTTAAAGGGAAGTAGAGGAAGGCGAGGGTGGGATGTTTCAAGAGAACAGCATCGAAACATGTATATTATCTAGGGTGAAACAGATCACCAGCCCAGGTTGGATGCATGAGACAAGTGCTCGTGCCCGGTGCACTGGGAAGACCCAGAGGGATAGGGTAGAGAGGGAGGTGGGAGGGGGGGATCAGGATGGGGAATACATGTAAATCCATGGCTAATTCATGTAAATGTACGACAAAAACCACTACAATATTGTAAAGTAATTAGCCTCCAACTAATAAAAATAAATGGGAAAAAAAAAAGGGGAAGTAGAGCTTACGGAGAACACTGAAGGCTTAGGCAGTCTTGCTAGGGTGAAGTGGAGAGAGAAGGTACTAGACAAAAGAAACTGTCAAAAATTGGGCAAGAGCTCAGTGCATTTGAGGAACTGCAAGAAGGCTGGCATGGCTAATGCAGGAAAACAATTACAGGGACTTAAGGACTCTCTTTGATGATTTCATTTCCTGATCTGCAACAAGATGTGGTTTTAAAGATAACAGTTGAAAGTGCAGGAATGCCAGTAAGAAACTTGCTTCATATTCTGTAGGAAGGTTGTAGAACACCCAGTCAGGACCAAAAAGCATTCTGTTTCTAATAGAAACAGAGGAATATTCAGCTTTCCAAGAAAGAGTCTGCCACCTGGCTTCTAAAACAACTGTTTCAACAAAACTATAAAGTTCCAGGCTGGGGTTTCCGTTTTCAGCAAAGCAAGGGGAAATGAAAATACATAAAATTGACTTCTGAACACACATGAGACTAGAAAGAAATCAAATACCCTCCTTGGTCCCTTGGCTTCTACTTACCCAGTAACACTGGCATCAGGACAACTTTCAGTGGGTAAAACATGCTGTTGTCAATTTTTCAATCTTAAAACAAAAAAAATCAGAAAATAGTGTTAGGAGGAGTTCATTCATTTAACCAATCAATAGTGAGTACCTCTGTGAGCCAGCCTTTCTCTGAAGCACTAGGATGCAGCATGGAACAAGGAAGACAAGGTCCTAGGTCACACGCAGTTTGCATGTGTTAGGGAAATGGAGAGAAAAAAGCAGCAAATGAATGAATAAGAAACAGCAGATGCTGGTAACCGCTATGATAAAACAGAGTGGTGTTTGGAGAGTCCCTTGGGGGCTGCCTCAGATTGGCTGTAAGGGAAGATTATATGAAAGTTGCTTTTCGAGAGAATAAAAGCAAATATTTCCAGGATAACCTTGAGATGACAACCTTAAACAATCTATAGTCTGAGGTTTTTCATAGAAATGAAAGATTACAGGATACTCAGCCTGAAATGTTTACCTATATCTCCAACTAAATTAAAACAACTACCTTAAATATATAAAAAACATTCTGAACATGTAAGAAAGGAGATACACAAATAAGGTGGAGATTTTTAAACTCAGCTAAGGCATTCACCAAGTTCTATGACACAAAGAAGGCACTTGAAAGGTCCATGGCAAGATTTTATTTTTTCACTTTTTCAGGCAGGATAGCGTGAGTAGAAGGAGAATTGGGCTGTACATGGGCAAAAGTACTTTAAAAGCATCTCTATTATCTCTGTGGTATAAATATCACTGCATCCACCATTTCCTGGGAATAGATTTACTGTTCTACACAAAGCCCCACAGTTTTCTTAACAAAACAAATACCTTAACTCCAAAGAGTCACAATTCAACCAGCCTTAGGCTCCGACCTACCATTGTGGTGGGCCTCAGCCATGATCTCTGAACCCTTAACACCCTGGAGTAATTCCACCTCAGAATTTGCTGAAAGGAAAGGTTTTCTTGGTGTATTAATATCATATTACCCTAGCCAGCTCTGCTGGAAGTCCAGCACATATATATAGTGGCCATTTCAACTTGTAAAAAAATGATTACCTAAGGGTTTCTTATCTGAATTTTAATCAACAAAATTCTCCATCTGGGTCTTCCCTGGCGGCTCAGTGGTAAAGAATCTGCCTGCCAACGCAGGAGACATGAGTTCAATCCCTGATCTGGGAAGACCCCACATGCCGCAGGGCAGCTAAGTCCAGACGCCACAACTCTGTGCTCCAGAACCTGGGGGCCACAGCTGCGGAAGCATGCATGCCCAGAGTGCGTGCTCCATCAGAGAAGCCACAACAATGAGAAGTCAGCGCACCACAGTTAGAGAAAGCCCGTGCATAGCAACGAACACACAACACAGCCATAAATAAATAAAATCACTAAAAAAAATTCTCCATCTGGAAAATCAGGGTCAAGCTTTTCAAGGCAGCCCTACCTAGGTCTTGCTTATGCAGAAAGTCAGTTGACCTTGATGAACCTCAATTTCCTCACCTATAACATGGGGATAATGACGCAAGAATCAGATGTAAGAATGTAGATTTCAGTGCTTTAAAAAATAGAAAGCATTACTATATAAGATCCTATTTTTTATAGCCTAAAAGTAATATAGGAAATAGAGTTATTAGCTTTAGAGGAGATTTTGGACTCTGAGAATCTACCTTTACAAGAATGGCAAATGATGAATCAGAATGAACTGGAAACTTCTTAAGTTTCGGTTCTTGAATCCATTACAACAATGAAGATAACAATTACACTGACTCAGATCTACCAAAAGTCACATTAAGTTTTCCCAAATGTAAGTATTTCTAATGAAAATATAGATCTCTCAAGATAGCCACAGCGTGCTTTATTCCAGCTCTATGTAAGAGACAACCACCTTATCCCACACATACATCGCTGAGCATGAAAAGGGGCTTCCTGTATAGTAAAACTTTAATTCATCATATCTGGGACAACTAAGATCCCTGTTGTATTCTGGATGAAAGTTTTCTCCAGGAAGTTGGTTGCGCTCCCTTCATTCCCCAGCAAATAGTTGTCCTATATTCCCCAAAGCAGTGCACTATTTGCACCAAGGAGTAATCATTGATTAGTGTAGACTTACCTACACCCTCAAGGGCAGGACCAAAACACATCTCATTTATGATTGTCCCATGCCTGTGCTATAGCACTGGTGAAGTGTCTGGCATATACTGGATATGTGCTGATAGCTGCCAACATACCCATCAAATTGAAATCAGCGTCAACATCCTGCAAATGCACCATTCTAAGAGGAAACAAGCGACCCCAAAAAGATTCTGAATCTAGTCACCAAACTCAAGACTCACCAAGCCACACCCAAACCTTTTTCAAACAAATTCTAAGAAATGTACCAACAATCTGATAAATAGAAGATACCCATTTTCAGTCCTAAGTACTCAAAGACACCTTTAGAACTCTGTGTGAATGAATAGAGAAGCAATGACTTAACAGTAAAAGCATTACGTTTTTTAAAAGTTCTCTTCCCAGATCAGACATTCATTAACTAATTCTTTGATATTTGGGAAACCACTCCATCTCCTGGGCCTCCTTCTTCACATTAAAGGATCAGACTTTTCCCCTCTAGTTCTAGCACCACATAGGAGTCAGTAGCTGACACTCATTAAACTAGAGAAGACTATGTGACACACACTGAGTGCTCTGCACATTAACCAATTTAATTCTCACAACCCTCTATGACATTTTACACATGAGGAAACTGAGGCACAAACTGGTGAAATGCTCTGCCTAACAACACAGAGCAAGTGGCAGAGCCAGGATTCAAACTGGGGTCTTCTGGATCAGAGACTGTCCTTACTACTATGGATGTCTCCTCCATGCATGTGAAAGTAATCAGTGTTTTAGAGCAAAGCTTCCCTGAACTTCGTTTAACAAAACAAGATTAATCTGACCCCCCTGATTGAATGTTCTTCACACCCCCTGTCCCTAGTTAACTCCTGTTCATCTTTCAGATCTCAAATGTAATTTCATCAAGGAAACCTCTCCTGAAACACCCTATCCAGGGCACATCCTAGCCACATGTTTTAATAGTACTATTATTTCTCTTTCTTTTAGGGCATTTGTCACAATTTCTAATTACCTATTTGCTTAAGTGCTTGTTTGAGTAAAGGCTTGTACTCCACCCTCACCCCCCAAGACTATAAGCTTCATGAGGGTAAGAGCCACGCTTATTGGCCAGTGCATCTCCAGCACCAGCACAGAGTAAGACCCAGAGTGAAAGTCCAGGGACCACTGATCAGATGAATTAATAAACACTTAAATGGGCCAAGAATGTGACTCAAGTCAAGTTTCAAGTTTCCTAGTTAGTTGGCAGATATTCAGAAATCCCTACCATGTAATACGGATAGATAAATAATAGACAGACAATCTTTTATATATATATATATATATATATATACATATAGTTCAGAATTTTGTTATTCAGATACATAATTTAGAATTCATATATGAATCTCAGTCTCTAAAAAAAATCTAACAAAAGCACTCAGATGAACCTTAAGCACCTTGATGGACTCCATCTGAATCTTCAACTCTGCCAGCTTCCTTCCCAGATGCTAATTTATCTTCTCACCAGCATGTTCTTGAGGTAATTCTGCATAATAAGTTATCTCATGTGCTGGTCAAATGTTTGGAGCTGAGCTCATGGTTCTTTCACAATATAACTCTTGGCAAGTATCTTCTATCACCCCTAGGGAGTTGTAACTATCAGGACCCCCTTTTCTATTATTAAAAATGTAAGGGAATTGTTGTCTTTGGCACAATTTTAACAGAAAAAAACATCTTCAGAAAAGAGGCTCATGGCAGAGATGACCACACAGTATGTGGAAATGACCTCCTCAATATTATATTACAGGACAAAATAAGGGAGATGAGCTTTCTCTCTCAGTCAAGTGTTTGCCCCTAGTACGGACAAGTGCCCACTGAGCCCACCCACAACCTCACACCTTCCCTCAATCAGGCAGTCATTACTCCTGCTCTCTCCTTTAGACCAGCTTCTATCAACCATCCTACTTTATCGTCCCTGAGATCCGGCTATGCAGATGGTGAGGCAAGCATGAACAACAGCCTAGCTCTCTTGGGAGGTTGAGGTTCCTGACTTCTTACAGTTAAATATTGGCCTGTGTAGGATTGGGAGAAAAGAAACAGTTCAGGAAGTGTTCTGCCATGAGTCCAAGGAACAGCCAGCCACAGCTGTGCTTAAAGCCACAGGCAACTTAAAAGCTAAAGCCTATCACCATCATCATCATAATTTACTCTTTTATTAAGAGCAAACCTTACTGTTTTTTTCTCTGAGGATCTTAACACAGGTTACACTGCAGAAAGGAAAACTGGACCCACTAGACTACCTTATGGCAGTCCTCCTGCAGAGGCTCACATTTCTGGGATTGCCCCACAGCCCAAAAGGATGGCCTTTAAATGAAAACCTTCAGAACCAGCCTTCTTCCGAGTGAGAAAAGTTCAAGTCACTGCTTAAGAAATACAAAGCAAAAAAAAAAAAAGAAATACAAAGCAGGCGCTTACCCAAGATGATGAACACCAGGAGAACTCAATACCAGCAACTCAATTCTCCCACAACTGCAGTTCCCAAGTCCGACTGAAGACACTTCTGCCTGCACAGAAGGTCAGGCTCAGATCAAACCATATGCGTGCATCCTGAGGTGGCTGCAGCGACACAAACAGGAACCTCCAAATTAAGGTTCTCGTTTCAGTCAGCTGGCCTATTACTCAATTTTTATTTACACTTTCATTCTAAAATGAGGTAATAAATTCACCTTACTGAGACAAACCTCATGTTTCAGACCTCTGCAGGTGTCATCTCCTCTTGTAGGCAACAACCTCCTAGGATGGGATGTTGAATGGTCCCAGGTAAACAAGCTGAGAAATCAGCTTTGTGCAAACAAAATACATTTAAGATTAACACAAAACATTTTGCTCTGTATCTAAAATATAGCAATCTTGCAACTTTATTTTTCCTCTCAGTACAGGGGCAATATAGCTAATCTCTGTTTCCAAAGATATGCTTGTCCCGTCCTCCAGCTCACCACCGAGGCATGTCAATCTTCCCTGACCATATGACATCAGCATTTCTAGCATACAAGAAGCATTTTATTCCTCAGAGAATCCCTTAAGTGACTTGGACATCCTAGATTAAAAACTCAAAGCTTCTTTGAATCAAGGTATCTTTTGCTTTCAAGTCACCACTTCAAAATAAGTGTTTTCAGTGCGTACACCTTCAATCTTGCCTGCACTGGTTTGACTACACATGGGCATACTTGTTTTTTGAAACTTGTTCTGTATCATTTGACAAGTTGTTGAATGCTTGCTCTTCTCCAGAACTATGTCGCATGGTTCTTGAGAATGGGTATGCTGGTGAGCCAGCAATTGAGCAAATACCAGCAATGTGGTCTATTTTAGACTACCAACATTTTAACAGTTGTTAAAAATTCCTAAAAATTTATCAATCAACTCTTAAGGTGTGAGCTGGCTCCAGCACATCTCTGCAGCACACCTATGCAGATTTTTGCTGGGGTATGGCTCAGAGATGAATCATTACTGGGTACTGAAAATCATAAGCCACCTCCCTTCTCTTTCACATGACAGCTCTAGTCTTGTATGTACACACACACCAAAAAGTAGCAAGAAAGTGCAAAGAAGTTTATTAACTATGATGTGGTAAAGATCTCAAGAGTTACAATGTCTGTGCATATGACCCAATAGTGCATATCCTCCTACAAAAATTGACAAACAAGAAACAAAGTGAAATGCAGCATTAACAGTCCAACACTAGAGTCAAAAGGATGGAGTTGCCTCTTCTAGGAGCAAAGTTTTAAATTGTGCAATTAAATGAGAGTCTTGTGCCACACGCTATTGGTCTTCTTACAACTCCCCTCTGGAATCATAAGTGAGTGACACATAAGAACATGCGGACTCAGGATTTGGCCCCCAGAATTTTTTCTAAACAAAGACAGGAAACATTCCCTCGTGAAGCACAGAGCCCAGTTTAAGGACTGCAGAGAATGTGCCCCCTAAGAAGCTTGAGGTACCAAGTTTAGGTACTATGTGTTTCACATAGGAAACACAAAACATTTTATAAGTTCACATTTGGTAACAGAATTAAAAACTCAATGCATAAAACTCATAAGGCAATGTAGCCACAAGTAAAGACTTCAGCAGCCAAAGAAAAGTTCTGAAAGGCTTTTAACCCCCTCTGAAGGTTCAGAATTCAATTCCCTTTCTAGACAAGGCTGGTCTCCAAAAAGTGTGATAAGCACTCACAGAGAAGTAAAACGAAAAAAATAAAAAGAGAGAATAGCACCTTAGAAAATATTAAAACAGTAAGTTTAAAAAAAAAAAAACACTTTTTCTTCCTTTCATCCTTAAAAGTCTTAAAAGGCAGGTATATCCAAACACTGCTTTGTGCTTCTTTGAAGAAAAAAAAAGCTGTAACTCAGACCCCAATAAAAGGGCTGAAGAAGGAGACAGAGCGACCTTAAGACTGTGATGTGACCACAAACCCATGGAGCAGATTAGGTGGTCAACTTACTCTCCTACCCTGAAGGATTCCATCATTCAGTCACTTAAAAAGGAAGGGACTGGTTCAAACCCTGATCAAGGCTACAAAATAACATGACCAGGCATTCACACAGTACTATTTACCTAAAGTGATAAACATATCCCACTGGATGAATCCTTACAACATGCCTGAAGGGAAATTGCCAGAAAACTCAGTCAAAACTGGTCCTTCATTCAATGGGATATAACTTTACCTGGGTTCCTGTAACATCATCTCTTTCTCAAAGAATGAGGACCCACAAGAAGTCTATCTCACAACTAGATCTCTATCTTCAAATGTCCTAGAGCCCAAATTATCTACTCCTGTTTCTCAAACTGTTTTCCTTTCTGCATTGAGGTGTCAGACTAGACTGTCTCACTAGATTGGCCCCAGACAACCACATACTTAACAAGTAGCTCAAGAGTGTGAAACTTAACCACTGTAGATGCAGACTGACAATCTTGCTTCTGCCTCTTCTTTCTTATATGATCAGAGGTAAATTATAACATCTATTAACTAATCAGACTCTCTCATTAAGGACTAGATTAACATAAGAGGCCAGGCCAAATCTATGAGATGGAATAACCTAAATTTTTAAAAATAGATCTTGGCAAAAAAATATAAAAGTGATTTTTGTACAGCATACAATGTTTTGTGCTACAATATGGAAACCTCCTGAGTCACCTAGCAAAGAATCATGGAAAGGGGCTACCCTGTTAAAAAAATCAAATTATGAGAGACATTTTTGTCTCTCATAATTAAGAAGTGAACTCTATCCCTCTATTACAGAGGACTAGGCAGTCAACCCTTCCTGATATGTCATACATATTTCTTAATGGCTTATAGAAAAATCCCATGTAAATTAATATTTGAAATAATTTGGTGCAGTAGAATGAAGGAAGTTGGTAGAAAGTATCAAGAGACAGAAGAAGGAAGTGTAAGTTGTGTACACCCTCACTTCCTTATCTCAAATATTATGCAAAAAAGGGATTGTAAATACCTTCTTTCACTCATATTTTCTGCATTTTAGAAGAAAATCTTGAAGAACAGCATAGGTTAAAAGATCATTTCATGGGTGGGGGGATCGGGATGGGGAACACATGTAAATCCATGGCTGATTCATGTCAATGTATGGCAAAAACCACTACAATATTGTAAAGTAATTAGCCTACAACTAATAAAAATAAATGGAAAAAAAAAGATTATTTCATTGCAAATAACAGGTAAAGTTATTCTATTTATCCCCACTAAAAACCCTATGAAGAGTTTTTCTTGCCTCTGATTTGAAAAGTCAAGAAGGAAACCATAAATCACTCAGCTGTTAAGAAAGTAAAATAAAAAATTGCACCTAGTGAGAAAAAGAAGGGAACCCCTCTATCTCAGCATTTCTTAATTGTAAATTGTTGACAGTTTAATACTTTAAAAGCACAGTCAAATAAACCACTGACTCCTGATCCTACCAACTCTAAAAAACCGGGGTTATGCACTCCAAGCCTCCCAAACACAACTGATGATGAGATAATTAAACCAATGAGTATATGCTGTATGCTAACTGACAGCTGAAAATATTCATGGAGCAAAAAACAAAGAATAACTATCCCCAAAAAACATTTTGTCCAGGAGCATATCAGGAAGCTCTAAGATCCATTTCATTAAATACATATACATATATATATATGCATCAGCAATGTGGCCAACATCTAGGATTCTCCCTCATAAAAACTGGAAGAAAACATGTAATACATTCAAGAGCAA